CTGTCCTTCGTCGTTCAAGACAGAGCACCCGTCACACAAACCGGTATAGAGGTCACACTTCTTTATTTTTGCGCCCGGGAATGTCGTCGCTGACGAACATCTTTTAGTATTGGACGCAGGAACTTCCCAGCTATATTTCAACCGGGAAAGTAATTCTTGAAGGTACGTCCAATTCCACAGGAAATCGTTCCCGCTACTTACGGAACGTCAACTCAAGCGCACGATTTCTTCACTCCCCAGCCCGCACGCAAGGTCTCCGTATTCCTGCTCCGCATGATCCTCCACGACTGGGCGGACAAGTACTGCTTCAAGATCCTCCGCCATCTGCGCGCCGCGGCGGACAGCTCCACCAAGCTTCTCATCATCGATAACATTGTCTCATACGCCTGCAATGAGACGCCCACCAAGGATATCCGTGGAGAAGAGCGTCCTCTGGCGCCGGCCCCGCTTCTCCCCAATTTCGGGCAATCCAGTGTCATCGCGTACTACACCGATCTCAACGTAGGTTTTTCGTGGTGCCTCCTTGAATGCCACTTACTGGATTCTTTCGTTTTTCGGAATAGATGCTATCACTTTTCAACAGCCAAGAACGGACAGTCCTCCAGCTGAGAGAATTGCTGAAAGAATGTGGTTGGAATCTTGTTGAAGTGTACTACGGTGACCCATTCGCAGTTGGCCAGTCTAAGGCTATCGCCGTCCCCGCGTAATTTAGAGAAGTGGGCTGTTGAGGACGCTGCAATATTTCTGTAGCACCCTGAAAGAATATCACCTCAGGCTCATCTACGCAACTTCGGCCCGATAACTTTGCCCTCGACTTCTACTACTATTAGCACCAAGAAAAATGCTCGCGCGCAATGAAATAAGCCGCTGTGGACCATGATGGTCGGTCTTGAACAATATATCTTTCATTCTTCTGTAGTCCGAGATAAAAGGAGGACCGCCGCGTCGTTTTACGAATTGGCTTGCATCGTTTTGGGAGTCGCATCGCGTCCTTCTACCAGCCATGTTTTGCAAAGACGTCGTCAGGGACGTTCTTTTTCGCCCCGTCTGTGTCTTCGCTGTTTTCCGGTGGTTGGTGGGTGTTTGCACTCACTCTGGAAAAAGGCTTGTTTAATATTACCCCTTGATCAGAGCTGCGTTTCGGCTCAGAGCAATTTTTGCAACTTCATCGAAGTCTAACTTAACAGCAGAAGTACATGATAGTATGCATCATCGTGGACCACGGTGGTCTCCCTCGGTTATATAGTTCATCCTCGACGAACTTCGGAGGGAATTGGGAGTTCGACTCCCCCCGATGACATGCCGAAGGAACGTCCCCATCTACATCCGCTGGTCGCCCTCGGCCCATAAAATGTGGTGCTTTGGTTCTGATCCTCCCGGCTATATACAAGATGCGGAGAAGGTCAATCACGGCGCCACCATTTGAGACGTGTGGATAAGGACCAGTAAGGAAGGGCCAAGAAAGCCGCTGTGGACCGTGGTGGTCACCCTCTCCCGATTCGAAGATCATCTCAATTCTCATTACTTGAGAGGAAGGCAGAGGTTCGAATCCTCCCGGCAGCATGGATCATGGTCGACATTTTTTTCACGTACTTATATGCACACTGCAGAGAAGTTGGAACAGTTTTCATAATGACCGTAAAGAAACGCCAGAACAGCCGCTGTGGACCATGGAGGTTACCCTCTCCCACTTGTGTCAATGAGCCTTTAGAGCCTGTTCGGATGCCAGATCCAAATCCATGGATCTGCCCGACCTTCCTTATTAAGTAGCTCCAACATCATGTGATGTACTGTACCATTTCGACCGTAGGTTCAGGTGACGGTGACAGAGGGTCGTGAACTGAACCTATCTGGGACAGGTGACGGTGACAGTGAGTTTTTGTGGCCCAAATAGGCTAAAAAATGTGAAAATTTCGCCTCCGGCAGTTGCCGGATTACCATAAATAGTAATTTTACCGTGATTGCCGAGGATTGAACATGTTATAAAATGAACATGTGCGGTGACGGGTGACATACCGTGAACCTACGGTCGAAATGGTACAGTATATGAGCGTGACAGCGATATTTGACGCGTCTTGCGACTCTTCGACGCGCCCGAAGACCCAATGCATCCTGTCCACCTGTGTTACTGGCTTTCTTGTCTATTCAAAAGATCTAACAAAACAATTTTAAAGTATTGCCACAGCATCACGATCTGGCATTGAGAGCCCCAAATATTTTATTGAACTCGGCCGCCGATGAGGCAATGTCCCTCAGTGCCTGCTGCCCAGCGGAGAGGCGAGGCCTTTTGCGATAGATTGGGGCGGCCTGCGTAGCTACACACTGGCACTTGCAAGCGGAGATGAAGTTATCGCCTGTTAGCTGTATTTGATGAGCAAGGAACAGAACAAGGACATACATCGTCACTGTTATCGTCGCCCTTGCCGTCGTCGCCGCCGTCGCCGCCGCCGCCGTTGTGGTCCCCAACGGCACCACCATTACCCTCCATCTCCTTGTCGTCATCTTTGTCCGGGTCCCCACCAAAGTCCCGATTCATCTGCTCCTTGTTCCAGCGCGGGCTTGGGGACCTGGCTCCACCACTCTCCAGAGCGCCACCAACAGTGGCAGCAGCACAGAAGCTCTTTGGTTTGAAGTTTCCGACGCCGTCCCCAGCCTCCGCCTGGTGCTCGACGTGGAAAGTGACGAGCTGAGCTTTATTGTCGGGGCGGGTCCACGACACTTTGTCAATGGGGTTGGAGCCACCAGCTGTACCAGTAGCTGGGTTTGACTTGGGCAGCATTGCGGAAGCCTGCAGGGTGCGCGCTCGACGACGGGGTTTTCTCAATGAAAAAAAAAAGACGCGAGGTGTCACAAATGATCACAGGGATCACATGATGTTGGAGCTACTTAATAAGGAAGGTCGGGCAGATCCATGGATTTGGATCTGGCATCCGAACAGGCTCTTATACAGACTTCAGAGGAAGGTGAAGGTTCGAGTCCTCCCGGCAGCATGGGTTGTTGTTCACATTTCTTTTTCTCACCTACATGCAAAGTGCGAAGAAGTTGCAATCACGGGGCGCAATTTTATTCACCATTCAAGATGTGTGGATAATGACTGTATAGAAAGCCATAGGAAAGCCACTGTAGACCGTGGAGGTCACCCTCTCGCGTTGACGTCACTGTATACATCCTTCAGAGGAAAGCGGAGGTTCGAATCCTCCTGGCAGCATACACCCCGGAAATTCAGATATATTTCTCGCCTCCCAAAAACATTTCTGAAACTTTTAGTTTCAGACGCGCTCCTGATACGTTTAGTTTCAGGTGCCGGACCGGGCCGGGCCGACGGGTTTTTGGTGGCCTGAAACTAAGGGTATCAGGAACATGCCTGAAACTAAAGGTTTCAGATTCGTTTTAGGAGGCCCAAAATGAGCCTTTTTAGAGAGCGATACATTTGTTCCCGCGGTTTTTTCTTCACATAATGTATATGGTGTGCATAGATTTTACCATTCAGTTGCATGTAGTTTTTCCATGCTCTCGAGAATGATATGGCGGACTCAAACTATAGTCATTGAGGATTTCAATAGAGTTGGGATGACAATGACAGGCCTGCCAACGTCCTTACAGTACATGTTAACAACAAGATGCAAACATGGATCGGTCTGGGATCAAGGAAAGCAAGGAAAGCTGCTGTGGACCGAGGCGGTCACCTTCGCTGAATTTAAAGTAGGTGTTCGCGTTCATCAGAGGGAGATGGAGGTTCGATTCCTCCCGGCGGCATGGCGCAGGACATTTTTTTTATACATAATGTCGATATTACCCGTAAATTTTACCATTCGGTTGGCAGTTACATGTAGTTTTTCGTGCTCTGGAAAATAATACAACAGGACCTAAACTCAAGTCGTTGAGAATTTCAGAACAGCTTGGGATGTCAACGTCAGACCTGCTGGTGAATATACGTCCGTAATTTACAGTATCTGAGTATATGTTAACAACAAGATGCATCAGACATCGATAGTCTGAGAATAAGGAAAGCAAACTTGAAGCCGCTGTGGAACGAGGCAGTCACCCTCACCGAATTTTGTGAAGGGGTTATCTTTCAACAGAGGGAGAGGAAGGTTCGATTCCTCCCAGCAGTATAGTGGGGATCCACATGACCCTTTTTTATACAACATCGATACAGTGGTGTGATTAGATTTTGCCATTCGGTCTGAGGTTCAATTAGTGACTCTTTCCTCGCTCACGAAAGTCCCATTTAAAATGCACTGATATTAAACTGTGCCGATCGGACAATATCAATCACGCGGCGCAACTTTAATCACCCTGAATACAATTCAGACTGTGGATAATGACTGAAAAGAGGAGCAAGGAAAGCCACTGTGGACCGAGGTGGTCACCCTCTCCCACTTCCACATTGTCCCATATTTCAGAGGGAGATGGAGGTTCGAATCCTCCCGGCGGCATAGTGGGAATCGTTACTACGACCCTTTTTTACATAACGTCGATATGATGTGTGTGCATAGCTTTTGCCATTCCGTTGGAGGTCCAAGTATTGACTCTTTCCTCGCTCACACAAGTCCCATGAACTGTGCCGAGCCGTCAATATCAATCACACGGGGCAACTTTAATCACCGTGCATACAATGTAGACGTGTAGATAATGAGCATAAACAGGAGTAAGTAAAGCCACTGTGGACCGTGGTGGTCACCCTCTCCCACTGGCTTCTCGCTGCATACTTCGAGGAAGACGGAGGTTCGAATCCTCCCGGCGGCATGACTGGATCCGCAAGAATTTTTTCTTTACATAACGTCGATATGGTGTGTGCGTATGATAAATTTTTCCATTCAGTGGAGAATATTATGGCGGGGCTCGGACTCTAGTTGGTAAGAATTCCAATAGAGCTTAGGCTCACATTGACCTGAGGCCTGCTGGTGAGTACATGTGTACCTTACAGCCTCTGAGTATATGTTGACAGCAAGATGCGCCAAAGATGGATGGGTCTCAGAATAAGGAAAGCAAGGAAAGCCGCTGTGGACCGAGGTGGTCACCCTCTCCGACTTCAATGATGACATGTTGCTTCAGAGGAAGGCGGAGGTTCGAATCCTCCCGGCGGCATGTGCCATGCAGGAACTTGTCAGGACATTTTTTTTTACATAACGTCGATATTGCCCGTAAATTTTACCACTCGGTTGGCAGTTACATGTATTTTTTCATGCTCTGGAGATTGACGGGACTTAAATCTTCGATGTGCTACTGTAGTTGATGGGAACTTCAGAAGAGCTTGGGCTCCCAATGACAGGGCTGCTAGTATACGTCCTTACATGTCAACAAGATGTGCCCAAGATGGAGGGGTCTGAGAATGAGGAAAGTAAAGCCGCTGTGGACCAACAGTCATCCTCACCGAATTTGGCGTAGGGATTCTGGTTCATGAGAGGGAGATGGAGGTTCGAATCCTTCCAGCGGCATGTGGAGGTTCAGAACCTTTTTCTTTACATCCGTCGGTACAATAGATTTTACCATTCAGTTGCATGTAGTTTTTTCGTGCTTTGGAGAATATCATGGCGGGACTCAAACTTTTGTCGTTGAGAATTTCAGAAGAGCTTAGGCCGATAATGAAAAGCCTGCTGGTGAGTATACCTCCTTACAATGATATATATGTCAACCACAAGATGCGCTGAAAATAGATGGGTCTGAGAACAAGGAAAGCAAGGAAAGCTGCTGTGGACTGTGGACATCACCCTCTCCCACTTGTGTCTCTTCAGACTTCAGAGGGAGGAAGGCGGAGGTTCGAATCCTCCCAGTGGCGTGTATCATGGCCTCGTTTTTTAATGTCGATATGCGGTAGTTATTTTTTGTGACTGGTTGGATGTACTAGTCAGTGGTGAGAATTTCAGAAGAACTCTGACTAACAGACCTGCTCCTTACAGTATATGTCAACAACAAGATGCGCCATTGAAACAAGGATAGGTCTGAGAATGAGGAAAGTAAAGCCGCTGTGAACCACGGTGGTCACCCTCTCCCACTTGGTTCTTGCTGCATGGAGGTTCGAATCCTCCCAGCGGTGTGGTAAGCTATGGTCGACTTTTTATAGATTTTACCATTCGGTCGGAGGTTCAACCATTGACTCTTTCCTCACTCACAAAAGTCCCATTTAAAATGCAATGATAATGAACTGTGCCGAGCGGTCAAAATTAATCACACGGGGCAACTTTAATCAGCCTGAATACAATTCAGACTATGGATAATGGCTGAAAAGAGGAGCAAGGAAAGCTGCTGTGGACCGAGGAGGTCACCCTCTCCCACTTGCTTCTCGCTGCATACTTTGAGGAAGACGGAGGTTCGAATCCTCCCGGCGGCATGACTGGATCCGCAAGAATTTTTTCTTTACATAACGTCGATATGGTGTGTGCCCATAGATTTTGCCATTCAGTTGGCAGTTATATTTTCGTAGTCTGGAGAATATTATGGCGGGACTCAAACTCTAGTCGGTAGGAATTTCAATAGAGAGGCCTGCTGGTTGGTATACATACGTGCGTGCCTTACAGTACATGTCCACCACAAGATGGATGGGTCTGAAAATAAGGCAAGTAAAGCCGCTGTGGACCATGGAGGTCACCCTCTCCCACTTGTGTCATTGAGCCTAATACATACTTCAGAATTAGGTGGAGGTTCGAATCCTTCCGGTGGCGTCTGGTTTTTCGGCACATTTTTTTACACAATGTCGATATGGTGTTATTTTGCCATTCGGTTGGCAGTTACATGTATTTTTTCGTGCTCTCGAGAATGATATGGGGACTCAGAACCTTCAATGTGCCAATCGGTCGGAATTGGGGCTGACAGGCCTGCCGGTGAGTATACATACCGTTACAGTATATGTCAACAACAAGATGCGCCAAAGATGGATGGGTCTGAGAATACGGAAAGCAAACTTGAAGCCACTGTGGACCGAGGCGGTCACCCTCACTGAATTTCAGGTGTGCATGTATGTTCATCAGAGGTAGATGGAGGTTCGAATCCTCCCGGTGGCGTGGTATCAGACATTGGCACATTTTTCAATGGCAATATAGTGTGTGTGTGCATAAATTTTGCCATTCAGTTACATGTAGTTTTTGCGTGCTCTGGAAAATGGGAGTCAGACTCTTGGATGTGCTAATCGGTTGGAATTTGGGCTGACAGACAGGCTGGTGAGTGTACATCTTTACTATACAGTACATATGGGTCTAGCATCAAGGAAAGCGAAGCCGCTGTGGACTGTGGCGGTCACCCTCACAGAATTCATCAAGGGGTTAAGAGGGAGATGGGGGTTCGACTCCTCCCGGTGGCATGGTTCGAGTCGTGTTTTTCCCCCCACCAATATGCAAAGTGCAGAGAAATGTAATCACGAGCAACTTTGATCACCATTCAAGATGTGTGGATAATGCCCAATAAAGAAAGGCCAAGACAGCTGCTGTGGATCATGGAGGTCACCCTCTCCCATTGATGTCGATGTGATACTTCAGAGGAAGGTGGAGGTTCGAATCCTCCCGGCGGCGTAGTTTATCGGCTCCATAATTTTTTTTTCAACGTCAATATGGTGTGTGCGTGCCCGTAGATTTTGCCATTTGGTTGGTCGTTTTTTTTTTTTTTTCGTGCTATGGCGGGCTCATGATCAACTCATGGATGTGTGAGTCGGTGGAAATTTCAGATGGGATGACGACAGGCCTGTTGGTATGTGCGTACCTTTTCTACGAATAACAGGATTCCATGCGCTTCCGCTCGATCTCTGACACAAGCTGACACACCTGCAAGAGTTCATACTCATGGAATATTCAGCGCCATTGATGAGAGCTGCCTTTCGGCTCATTATGTAGTTTTTCGTCTAAGAGCAAACGCACTTGCTCGCATGCGTCGTCGTGGACCACGGTGGTCTCCCTCAGTGATATGATGTAACGCGCGGATACTTCGGACTTGGGGGTTCGATCCCTCCCGATCACATGGGACAGTTGTAACCAGTTTTTTTTTGCTCGTTGTTTCCGGAGAATTCACTCGATTCAGTGTCCCATAGCCAGATGGCACGTAGTACCCGACTCCCCAGCTATTTTCATCCGCGGTTGTTGAACCTCAACCGAAGACGAACGCGAACTCGGGGACGCAAGGGAAAGCGAAGGGAGGGTCGGGGTTCTTGCAGTTCGGGCACAGTGCGCGTGCGGCGTCTGTGGCGTCTGATTCGCCCTCTTCCGCGCCCTCTTCCGCCGTTGACTCAACTCCCACTTCGACTCCCGACTCCACCGCCGGCGACTCCACCGCGGACTCAGCACCAGCGGCACGTGGCGCAAACCAACCCCACACAAAACACACGTCCACGCACACGCACAAACCCTCCCTCCTGCGCACGCTCCGCGGCGAGGCGACCGTGCTCGCGGGGCGCGTGCGAAGGGATCCGGGAAGGGTGGAGAGGGGAAGGCAGATGATTGATGGGTAGGGGTGAATATTCGTGAGCGGTGGTGATATGCAATGAGGTGTGAGGCTAATATCCCGGGGACCCCTTTTCTTTTCTTCTTACCCGTGGAAGTTGCGGTGGTACTCGGATGCTGGGGAATTTTCAGCGTCATCGCGTACTACACCGATCTCAACGTTGGTGTTTCTTCGACGCAGCATCACCGAATCCCGCTTACCCTTGAAACAGATGTTGTCACTTTTCAACAGCCAAATCCTTCAACTGAGAGAATTGCTGAAAGAATGTGGTTGGAAACTTGGTGAAGTGTACTACGGTGACCCACTCGCAGATTGCCAGTCTAAGGCTATCGCCGTCGCCGCGTAATTTCGAGAAGTGGGCTGTATGTCGAATATTTCTGTAGCACCCTGTGAGGCTTTTTCACCGGCAGCTTCGGACCGATCAATACAATGTTGCCCTCGGCTTCTACTACTATTAGTACCAAGAAAAATGGTCGCGCGCAATGAAGTAGTCCGAGTTAAAAGGAGGTTCGGCGCCATCTTGTATCAAGACTCAATTCTTTTGGTTTCATTTTCTTGTCGAATGCACAGCCTGAAATTGACATTCAATCTTTCGTCCAAGAGATCCCATGCAAGCTTGCACCAGCCTTCCGGACAGTGCTTTGATGGTGTGAATGGCCTTTTGCAATCCTCAAGCGATGATTCAGGTTACCAGGTACGAAGGAAAATAGTCGTGGACTGTGGAGGTCTCTCCCACCTACATTGAATTATTCCCAGCGGCAAGGAGTCGGCCATTATGCTTTTTCCCTTTCCTTTTCGGACAGACAGTCCTGGTTGTGTCGCTCTCCGGGCGGAGAGCACTGGAAGTGTACGTGTACAATGGTAACTTAAAATGATCCGAATTGAATCTGGTAGCCAGCTGCATGTGAGGGACAACGAAAATCCGAATTGAAGTTCAAGCTGGTTGTGAAGGAAGAGTTTAATTTGAATCACTATGGTCGTATATATGGTTTGATCTCGTTCATTCGAGAATATATGGTTATGTCTGCAAAGTAAGCAAAAAGAAAGCCACCATGGACCGTGGAGGTCACCCTTGTGAGGATGGAAGTTGGAAGTTTCCAGGAGGCGGAGGTTCGACTCCTCCAGGCCGCCTAACCCAAAAGGAGCCCAGTTTTTCCCCCTCTTACACGCAGATCCGAAGCACTATTATGTTGGGTGGTTATATCTTTATTGCCCACACGTGCGAACGAGCTTGGATGAACTTGCGAAATATCAACTTGAGTCATCCTTCAATGCATACATTGGATTTCATTCATTTCAAGTTTTTTAACAGTTAATAGCTGATAGGGAAAGGACAGAATGCTACCATGCCCATGCGGGTTACCCTTACCCATTATTTCATCACAGGCTTGGTGAGGGAGGTGGCTTGGGGTGGGGGTTCGATTCCTCCTGAGACATCAAGCGTATCAGCTCGGTTTTTTTCTAGATTTGAAGCACAGTACGTGAATATGATGATCTGGTTTTTCAGAGACCAGTTATTTGTTCGCTCGGAGAGATGAAGCTGATCTGTTCTTTCCAGTGGTGAAGACAAATGATGAATTCGATTTTATTTAACCAAAGAGTCAATGGAATATTCAGCACCCTTGATCAGATCTGTGTTTCGGCTCAGTAAGCAGCCTTTGCCTCCTTACTGGAGTCCAAGTGCAGATGTACTTGATAGTACGCGTCGTCGTGTGGAGTCCTCATCAAATTTCGGGGTGGACTTGGGGTTTGACTCCTTCCGACGAGGATAGGTTTTTTCGTTCGTTGTGTCTGACCTGCATGCGAAGCACACTGCATGAATAGCCTGTCGTTCGGAAGCAATTTGATGCTCACTCGTTCGGGGAGAAGAGGATGGAAGCTTCGCCGTTCTTGCCAGTGATGGGAATGAGTAGGCAATTCGATTTTGTTCCTTTAAGGAGTTTTGCAAATAGGTGTGCAATGGAGAGCCGCTGTGGACCATGGAGGTCACCCTCACCGAATTTGTTGGTCATCCTTAGTTCATCCGTAGTCTCCCGTAGTCAGACTCTACACAAAAAAAGTTTTAATGATAGTCGATAAAACTATGTGTAGAGTCTGATTCTATTGGCATACCGAAAGCCGCAACTCGGATTTCCGTGATCGGCGGCTGACTAAACGTGATATTCCCACGTTCCCAATTGGGATTCTGACCCCGTTTGCCCTGCAGATAAGCTCTCTGATACAGAATATGGTCTGTTTCCCTCAGAAATTATATTTAAACAGGTATGATACACTGATACATTTTTGTGAGGTGATATGAGGGACTATTGACTCTTTTATACCAGAAACAATGAAATAGGCTTCATTGTTGCCTGATTTCGGCAGTATTTTGCTCACAGGACTTCCAAATTAGCAGACATATGAATTTGGGATCCATCATATAGTCATATATTGGAATTTGGGGTTGAAGTGGGAAGAACGAGCCTGAAATCCCAATTGGGAACGTGGGAACGTCACGTTTAGTCAGCCGCCGATCACGGAAATCCGAGGTATGCCAACAGATTCAGACTAGTTCATCCGAGGAAGGCAGACGTTCGAACCCTCTTGGCAGCATACGGCGCAATTAAAGGTCTTTTTTTTTGTCATCTACATGATACATGCAAAGTGCGGAGAAGTTGCCATCACGACACAATTTTTGATCACCATTTGAGACGTGGGGATAATGACCAATAAAGAAAGGCCAGGACAGCCGCTGTGGACCGTGGTGGTCACCCTCACCTCATAATGCGGGTTTTTCCAGCGAAGAGGGAGCCGAGGTTTGAATCCTCCCGGCAGCATGAGTTACTGTGGTTAAGATTTTTTTCACTTACTCGAATACAAACAGTGGAGAAGCCTGTTCCCATCACGGCTCAGTTTTTATCACCATTTGAGATGTGTGGGTAATGCCTGTATAGGAAGGGTTGGAAAGCCGCTGTAGACTGTGGAGGCTCTCCCACTTGGTTTATAATCCAATACATCAGAGGAAGGCGGAGGTTCGAATCCTCCCGGCGGCATAGCGGATCAATTAACCCTTTTTTACAGAAGGTTTGTGTGAATAGATTTTGACATTCAGGTGCATGCAGAAGTTTTTTCATACTCTAGATGAATGATATGCCAGTGGCCGTACTCAGCAGACTCTTGGATGTGCTAGTACCAGTCGCTCGGTAGCTTAGGTTGAAAAGCCTGGGTGTACGTGCATACCTTATATATCAATAACAAAATCCGATGCGTTTCCGTTCAAATGTGCCGATCGGACCGGCCTGTTGGTACCTCCCATTGCCCAAAGATGCATGGATCTAAGAATAAGGAAAGTAAAGCTGCCGTGGACCGTGGTGGTCACCCTCACCTCATAATGTAGGTTTTTTCAGTGAAGAGGGAGCCGGAGGTTCGAATCCTCCCGGCGGCATGGGTCGCAATTAGTGATTCTTTTTGTCACCCACTTGTATAGAGTACGGAGACGTTGATTGCATGGCGCAATCTGGATTACCAGGACGTGTAGATGATGGCTGTAAGGAAAAGCACTACGGAAAGCTGCTGTGGACCGAGGTGGTCACCCTCACCGAATTTTGCGTAGTTATTCGAGTTCATCAGAGGAAGGCGGAGGTTCGATTCCTCCCAGTGGCATACAATTTTCACAGCAGCATTCTTTTCACATAACGTCGATATGATTTGTGTGCATGGATTTTACCATTCAGTTGGCAGTTATGTTTTCGTGGTCTGGAGAATATTATGGCGGGACTCAAACTCTAGTTGGTAGGAATTTCAGTAGAGGTTGACCTGAGGCCTGCTGGTTGGTATACATACGTGCATGCCTTACAGTACATGTCCACCACAAGATGGATGGGTCTGAAAATAAGGCAAGTAAAGCCGCTGTGGACCATGGAGGTCACCCTCTCCCACTTGTGTCATTGAGCCTAATACATACTTCAGAAGAAGGTGGAGGTTCGAATCCTTCTGGTGGCGTCTGGTTTTCGGCACATTTTTTTACACAATGTCGATATGGTGTTATTTTGCCATTCGGTTGGCAGTTACATGTATTTTTTCGTGCTCTCGAGAATGATATGGGGACTCAGAACCTTCAATGTGCCAATCGGTCGGAATTTGGGCTGACAGGCCTGCCGGTGAGTATACATACTACAATATATGTCAACAACAAGATGCGCCAAAGATGGATGGGTCTGAGAATACGGAAAGCAAACTTGAAGCCACTGTGGACCGAGGCGGTCACCCTCACTGAATTTCAGGTGTGCATGTATGTTCATCAGAGGTAGATGGAGGTTTGAATCCTCCCGGTGGCGTGGTATCAGACATTGGCACATTTTTCAATGGCAATATAGTGTGTGTGTGCATAAATTTTGCCATTCAGTTACATGTAGTTTTCCCGCGCTCTGGAAAATGGGAGTCAGATTCTTGGATGTGCTACTCTGTCAGAATTTGGGCTGACAGACAGGCTGGTGAGTATACATCTTTACTATACAGTACATATGGGTCCAGGATCAAGGAAAGCGAAGCCGCTGTGGACCGTGGAGGTCACCCTCGCAGAATTCATCAAGGGGTTTTTGAGTTAAGCGGGAGATGGAGGTTCGATTCCTCCCGGTGGCATGGTTCGAGTTGTGTTTTTTCCCCCACCAATATGCAAAGTGCAGAGAAGTGTAATCATATGCCTCAACTTTGATCACCATTCAAGATGTGTGGATAATGACCAATAAAGAAAGGTAAGGATAGCTGCTGTGGATCATGGAGGTCACCCTCTCCCATTGATGTCGATGTGATACTTCAGAGAAAGGCAGAGGTTCGAATCCTCCTGGCGGCAATAATTGTCGCAGCAGTGTTTTTTTTACATAACGTCGATATGGTGTGTGCGTGCCCGTAGATTTTGCCATTTCAACGTAGGTGTGCATGTGTGTGTGAACAGATTTTCGTTATTCAGTTACTGTAGCCCTGTGTATGGGTGAAACAGTTTTTTGAGCGTGACTGAAACGACGAGCTTGAAACCAGAAACACCCGCTGCGTTATGCGTGACCCGTGAAACAAACCCACATTTTTTGGGCAACTCCTGGTCATTTTGGGAAATTTTGTGGGAGTAACGCAAAAATTTGGTGAAACAACCTCCTCGTTACGCGTTACGCAGGTCCAAAACTGAAACAAAACGACCCCTGCGTTATGCGTTACGTTTCACCCATACACAGGGGTACAGTACATGCAGTGTTTTCGTGCTCTGGAAAATGATATGGGGACTTAGACTATTCGATGTGCTACCGTACTCGATGGTAATTTCCGAAGAGCTTGGGATGAAAAGTCTGACAGTACGTACCTTATATATCGATTACATCTGCCTGTGGGACAGTGAAATAACCACACGGCTGCGAGAGTTCAGCGCCTCTGATCGGAGCTGCATCTCATCTCCGTAAATAGTTTCCGCATCCTTAACAGCAGACGCCTTGTTAGTACGCGTCGTCGTGGACCACGGTGGTCTCCCTCAGTGATATGGGCTAACGCGCGGATACTTCGGAGGGACCAAGTTGGGGGTTCGACTCCTCCCGATGACATGGGACTTTGTGACCAGTTTTTTTTTGCTCATTGTTCCTCGAGTATTCCCTCCATTTAGTTTGCTATGAAGGCCGATGGAACATCGCGCATGCTCATCTTTCCGACTGCAATTGGACTGCAACCACCGGCTACCAAATTGATGGACGGTATTTGCGGTTGTTTTGCCTGGATGCAACTCTCACCGCGACGTCATGCTCCATCGACGCATACCATGGACTCGGAGCCTGGGCTGCCTAGCCTCGCTGCCTAGTGCCCATTGATGTATAAAACGCCCACTCCACGTCTTTCCCCTCAGCTTTCCCTTCCTTTCCCTCACAAAAATAAAACCTCAAAATGTCTGTCCTCGCCCCCTCCATCCCCGAAGACCACGCAACCTCCTCCTTCCCCTCCTCCGATGGTCAAGCCCACCCCCGGCCGCCCAAAGCCCCGCCACTAACCTCGATGCCCTCGACGCCGGGTCCCATGGTGCCCGGCGGCTATCCGCGCAACAGCGGGGTTTTCGCTGGGAACCAGTGGGATCACACGAACGGGAGTTCTGGAACTGGAACGGGCGCGGGGCTGTTCGCTACTGCGAGGACGTACTTGCCGCATGGGATGGCGTCGTATTTCCGTGAGTCTCGATTTAATTTTTGTTTGCGTTTGGATTGTCGTTGGATGATGTTCGTTATTGTGTTCATTATTATCTTCCGCGGGATCCTCTTGTTCCCCTCCTCTCTATTCATTAGAATTACGCTAACCCGCCCACACAGCCGACGTCCCCGCCCCCGCCCCTGCTTCCACCTCCCCCTCCCCTCCCACCTCGACCACCCCGCCCCTCCTCAACACCGACGGCAGCACCGCAAGCGACTTCAGCACCCGCGCCGCGTATGCCGCCTCCGACGCGTGGTCGCGCGGCGCCAGGGCGGGCACGCCCACGCCCGTGCCGTCGGAATATACGTATACCGCGGCGCAGCAGCAGCGGACGCAGCCGCAGCAGGCGGAGGGAGAGCAATGGGACGAAGAGGACGAGCCCCGCGCGCGGCCTCGCGCGACGTCGGGGTTGATGCCGTCGCATCCGGGGGTGGGCGTGCCTTCTACTGCTCCTTCGACTTTGCCCGCGTCGCCCGTCTCGCCCGTCTCCCCCACCACCACCTCCACCAGCCCCAGCTCTAATCCAACCTCGGCCATAACGACGCCTTCAACCACACCCTTCTCCCCTTCCTCACCCGCCCCCGCCTCATCTACGCGTATAGACGCGTCGTTTTGGGCGCCGGGGTTGTCTGCTACCTCACCCGTCTCCCCCATTACCACCCCCAGCCCTCCTACAACCTCGGCCGTAACGACACCCTCGACAGCGCCTACCTCACCTACGACTATAGACGCGTCGTTCTGGGCATCCCCTAAAAGCCCGCCCAAGGCGAAAGCGAACGCGAACTCGGGGACGAAAGGGAAGGGCGGGTCGGGGTTTTTGCGCTTCGGGCACAGTGCGCGTGCGGCGTCTGCGGCTTCTGATGCGCCCTCTTCCGCGCCCTCCTCCGCCGTCGACTCTTCCGCTCCCACTACTCCTCCCACTCCCGACTCCACCGCGGAGTCGACTCCCTCTTCCGCACCCACTTCCGTCGACTCCACCGCAGCCCCCTCTTCCACTGCGGAAGGAGCGAGTGCGGACGTAACACCCCACACGCCCACGCACACGCACAAACCCTCCCTCCTGCGCACGCTCCGCGGCGAGGCGACCGTGCTCGCGGGGCGCGTGCGAAGGGACCCGGGGCGGGTGGAGAGGGGAAGGCGGATGATCGATGGGTAGGGGTGAATATTCGTTCTTCGTATTGAAGTTGGGAGGAGAATGCTGGTGATATTTGATGAGGTGTTGGGACCCGGGTGCGCCGTGTGGGAAGGAAGGGGTGTAGCATAGGCTGGATCTATATTATCTTGTATTCGGAACTTGGGCGCTTCGCGATTTGGATTTGGATTTGGATTTTTATTCAATGCGCCCCGTTGGACAAGGCTATCGCCTGTTCATACACATGTACTCCGTTCGTTCCTTGATCATATGCGTCGGTTAAATTTACATGTAGCCACAGAGAATCATCGATTGGCCACAGAGAAAAAACGAAAGAAAAGACGAGGATGAAAGGAGGAAGGAAAGGAAAGGAAAAGGAAACAAAAATGGACGCCGCAACTTATCAAATGCCGCCGGGGGAGTCGAACCCCCCTCTCCCTCCGAATTCTAATGTCCACGAAGCCTACGGGATGAGGGCGACCGCCGTGGTCCTCAACGGCTATTTTCTTTAGTTATATTTCGTAGATCCTACATACGAATGAGGAGGAGCCTGCGGGATAAAAATGCATGGAAGCTCCCGTTGGGAACGGATATCGTACTCGGTTCCTTGATATATGCATCGGTTACATGTAGCCACAGAGAATCGTCAGTTAGCCGCAGAGAAAGAGACGAAATGAAAAGGAAGGAAGGAAAGGAAAGGAAACAAAAAGGGACGCCGTAACTTATCGAATGCCGTAGGGGGAGTCGAACCCCTGCCTCCCTCCGAATTCTAATCCACGAAACCTACGGGATGAGGGTGACCACCGTGGTCCTCGACGGCTGTTTTCTTTAGTTATATTTCGAATGTAGATCCTGCATATGAACGAGGAGCCTGAAGGATAAAATTGCATGCTTTGGTGTATGTAGTGTTGCCGATGTCCGGTTCGGTCCGGTTTTTTGCCAAAATTTCCGAACCCCGAACCTGACCTCAGGTCCGGTTCGGTCTGGGGTTCAGGACAGGTGCGAACCTTTTTGAACCTAAAAAATATTCCCACGCACCAGGAGCCAATTCCGTGGCCCGGGAAGCCTTTGAATGTTGTATATTGTATGTTTCA